CCCTATCGGAACAGAAAATCCAACTCTATGACTCATGGCACTATCATCTTGGGACGGACAGGGTCCAGAGACCTTCTATTTGTGCCACCTGTCTTCAATTTCACCATTCGTAAAATGAGATTAATTGTAGCTTACCTACCTTATAGGGTTCCTATGAGGAACATGAGAATACATGTGAAGCATTTAGATAGTGACTGGCAAATAGTAATTACTCAATAAATAGTAGCCATTGGTATTATCGCTCTATGGGTCACAAAAGTACAGCTGGCAAATACAACAGAGATGGAAGAGATCTGTTTTCTTTCATCTCTGTCCTTTAAGTGAAGAGAAGAGATGCCATGGGTGGGAGATGAGGAGGCTTTCTTGTCTTTGGCCCACTGCAAAGCTGTTAACTGCCTAGAAGGCCACTCACCACTGTCCCAACTCCTGTGGAACATCACCGAGCCCCAAAACCACCTTTCCATGAAGTCTTTACAGATAAAAGGATCCCTCTTTCACTGCCAAATTTCCACAGCATATAATTCGTACCTCATGTTCTGCCCCATGTACCTGCCCAACCCCTCTAATGTACTGTGAGCGCACTGAAGGCAGGCCCCACTGTTTATCCTGTGATCTCTGTTTCCTCTTCTAGACCCTAGAGAGAAACAGAACCCCTCAGAGAAAGCTGAGAGCCCTGTGGAGGCCCCAGACTTACAAAGTCTGAGAAGCTAACCAGGATGGGGTGAGGCAGGTCACCGAGAATAGGACCTAAGGCAGCTCAGAATAAGGAGTGAGCATACAGAAAAGTCCCTCAAACAGCAGTAGGAGGGGCAAGACAGCCTCTTCTAGGAGGAGAGACAATGGGAGCTAGGTAGAGAGAGAGGACAAGAGGGGGTGGGGAAGGTGTATAGAACCTGAATGGGGAGTGAGATCTGAAAAACTTAGAGATTTCTTGCCAAATGCAGAGGGAGGAGTTGCCCATTCTCTAATAATTCCCAGTAACTTACAGAGGGCAGATCCCAGTGTGGGATTCAGAGATAAAAAAGACACATCCCAGTACTTTCCAGACTGGCTAGTCCAGTGAGGATGAGTAGACAAGTACATGAAAAACTACAAGGGAGAAGGTGAGTAGTGCTCTAAGAAGTAAAAGAGAGGACTCTCAACAGTAAGACAAAGAGAATGAAAAGACCTTAAAGGGAGAGTGCCTACATGGAGAGAAACAGATGAAGATTAGAAATGGACATGTGTTCAAGGAGATAGCAATTTGAAGCGGAAGCCCCAAAGGCTGGGGTATGGTGTGGAGGGGAAGCCAGAAGGTGAAAGTGCTGAGGGAGACCTGGAAAGAAACCATTCGAAGGTGGAATATGAAGGAATTGCTCAGAGGGTGGGGTAACCTCTGAGAGAAGCCAGAATCCTTTCAAGGAGGCAGACTTTTTGGAGGATGGATATTTCACAAAGGGGACTCTCAGGAAAATGGGGGTGGGCAGGAGTCCAGAGGTATACCCTGAAGCATCTTTCAGGGGGCTTTCTGTGGCAAAAGGGAAATCCTCTCGGGGGACAATGGTTCTCAAACTCAAGCATGCTCCAGAATCACCAGGTGGGTCCCTAAAAACAGACTGCTGGATCCTACTCTCAGGTCTTCGGATTCAATAGGTCTGGGCTGGACCCAAGAATCTGCATTTCTAACCAGTTCCCAGGTGATGCTGATGCTGCTGGCCCAAGGACCATGCTTTAAGGATCACTGGTACAGGGGAAGGGATTCTTTAGTGAGGAGGCCTTCAAACGGGAAAAAGAAGGAGAAGGCTGCTGAAAAGAAAATGGGGGAGTCCTCAGGAAGTCTCCAAGGATGGGGTTGAGGGTCTCTCAATCTCCAAAGGGAGGAGGAGTCTTTGAGGATGAAACCTAAAAAAAAAAACCGGCCTGAGATGTTTCTGAAGGTTGAGATTTCAAGAGGTGAGGCTGTCTCTTGAGGATCTTTTCATTAAAAGGAGACAGTGGAGGCTCTAGAGGGTGAGGGGAACCTGGAAGATGCTGGGGACCTCTGAAGGGACAATGTGAGGAAGGAGGCTCAGAGCTAAGAAGGATCTCTAAGTTGATTTCAAAGAAAAGAGAACAGAGGTGGTGAGAGGATGTAAGTAGGAATCCTAAAAGGGGTAAATCTGATAGGGTACTGAATGGATGCATGAGGCAATGTTCCGAAGAAGTCTCAGAAAGTGCTGAGGATTAGGTTGTCAATGCAGGGCAATTTTGAAGAAAATTCTCTGAAGGGTGTCTGTGGGAGGTGTGGTCTCCAGAGAAAGGCTTTGGATGTGCTGGAGCAGGATGGCAGAGATCTTTTCAGGAACTCCTAAGAGAGCTCAGATGAGGAGAAACCTCTGAGTAAAGTCTTTGAAAGATAAAGTATGGGAAAAGTGGGTCTTCTGAGTAGAATGTGGGAATGTCAGGGTAGAAGGTCTTTCAGAAAGAATTCTGGGACTTTCTAAGAGCAGGACCTCAGTTATTTTAAGGGAAGACTGAATAGGGAGGAGGTTCTAGAGGATGTGAGGGAACCTGTGAGGAAGAGCTCAGGAAGGGAAGTCTCTAGAAGTGTCTTAATAAGGCAGGAGGTCTCTGAACAGTGATTCAGTGGGTTCTGGGGGTGTCGGAAGGATCTCTGGGAGGGATTTCAAGGGCTTATCCCAGGAGAGCTCAAGGGGTTGCCGAGGTCTCCAAGAAGATGTGAGGACATCCTGGAAAAACCGCATCTCACAGAGATCATGAAGAGTCTTAAAATTTAACAGGTTTTGAAACTTCAACTAAAAGCCAGTCTAGAAAGGGGGATTTTCAAGGGTCATCTAAAGAGGATTCTAGAGGATATCAGAGACTACAAGGGACCTTTTTGGAATCCTGAAGAAATCTCTGGAACATGTGGTGTAAGTTACCGGGAAAGAGTTGGGATAGGTAACAGGGCTTGTGGAAAAGGCTTTTGGAATATGGGATATGAGTTCTCCAGAGATTTCAGTGACTCTCTGGAGGAGGTATTTGGGAGAAGTGAGGGCGGTCTTGGGGGAAGATTCTTGGAGTATGTGAGGGTGATCTCTAAGGCATTTCAGGCTGGTGAGACCTGAGGGATCCCAAATCTTTGGGAGAAATCTTTGGGATCTGTGGAAGGGTCCTAAGGGATGACTTCACGAAGGGGGAGTGTGTACGGGAGATGGCTGGTGCTTGGGTGGAGAGAGGGTCCTCCAGGTGAATTTTGGGGATGTGAGGACATTTCAGAGAGTCTCTGAGAAAGACTTTCAGGGTATATCAGGGAAATTCCAAAGGACATGGTGGCAGGGAGGGGGTTTGGAGATTTGGGGGCCATGTGAGAAACATCTCCCAGGTGATTTCTGGTGTGGGGGTAGGTAGGAGGGAAAATTCTTGGGACCTATGAGGGGGAAGACCTGAGGATATTGTGGAGATATGCAAAATAGGTCTCTGGGGGAGATTTCTGGAATGTGCGGGGTCTGGAGGGGATCTCAGGGAGACTGCAGGAGATTTTTAGGGCTTATGAGGGAGGCTCGGGGAGGAGATATGACACACATTGTTGGAATAGATGAGGAGTGGCCTCCGGGGAATATTTCTGGACGGAGGAGGATGGGGGATCTGGGGCCAGAGGAGGGGTTCGCTGAGGAAGATTTCCGAGACCTAAGTCGGCGTCTGGACAAGATTCTGTGGACGTAAGGCGGGCGGGGCTTGGGCGGGGGGGGGGGGGGTTTCGGGAAGATTTCGCGCCCGGGGGGGGGGGGGGGGTTTTAGGGGGGGCTGGGGGGGCTTTGGCGGGGCTGCGGGAACGCCCTCCAGGGAGGTGTCTGAGGCAGACCTGCGGGGGAGGGGGGTGGTGTTCGGGGGAAGGTTCCCCGGCCCCTCGCGGTCCCTAGGGTGTGAGGAGGGTTTCGGAGAAAAGCTTCCCAGGCGGCCTGGGCGGGAGACTCGGGGGTCGGGGGTGGGGAATTCTCTCGAGGGCCGGGACCCCCGAGGCCCGCGCTCGCCGCCGCCCGCGGCTCGGGGTCCCTGAGGGGGCGGGGCCGCCCGCGCGGCCTGGGGCGCCCTGAGGTGAGCCCCGCGCGCCCCGACCCGCCGCCGCCCTGCCGCCGCCCGGCCCTGTCCGCGACTCACCGCCTTGGCCTCCGCCGCCGCAGCCGCCGCTCGGGCCTCCTCAGGCCCCCGCCGCCGCCGTCGCCCCCTCTCCGGCCCGCGAGCTCCCCTCCCTCCTCCCGCACCGACCACCGCCGCCGCCGCCGCCGCCGCCGCCGCCGCCGTCGCGCTGCGTCACCGCGCCGTGCGTCACCGCCCCTGGCCCCGCCCCGCCGGGGCCGCTGCGCGCCGGCATTAGCTCAAGCCGCGGTGACGAACGGCGCGCCCGCCAACGGGCGGCGAGGGCAGCCCGAAGGGCGGGAGGTGTGCGCGGAGAAAGGCGGGGTCCTGGCGGAGAGGGGAGCGCTGGGGGTTGAGCGAGGCCCAAGAGGCCCGCCCTCCACGCGCTGGGATTGGTTGGCCGCGGGGCTGACGGGCAGTCGGCCCCTCCGGGACCTGGGGGCGGGCGGGCGGGGCGCAAGCTGTGTTGCCATGGGCGACGGGCGCGGCGCAGCCGGGGATTGGGCCTCCCCGCCCGCAGGGGGCAGTCTCGCGCACGTCTACCTCAGAGGCCGTGAGCTAGGTCACAATTCCTGAATCTGGTGTTCAAGGCCTCCCTCCCCGCCCCTCTTGCTCCGTCCGCCTAAGGTCTGGGCCGAAGTGGTCCCGAGCGGCCAGGTTACAGTTTGGTGCTCAGGCTTCTGGAGTCTCAGCTCTATCACCGCAACTGTGTCTGAACCTGCTGCTTCGTGTCCCAAGTGGGAATAGGATTGAAAGAGACGATGCGTAGAAAGCGCTTGGCACAATGGAGGCCGTCAACAAATGGGAGTTGTTGCTTTGACTCTTGTAATCTGTTCATTCCACAAACTTTCCTGGATCTGGTGACTAAGCGGAGCGGGGGCCCTCACCCAGAAGGTGACCGAGACACAGCGTCTTAGAGGAACTCAAAGAAAATACAGTCGGGGTGGACGGAGTGTATTGTTCCGGGCAAGGAGTGGTGGGAAATGAGCTGTGGCCAGATGTTTGGCCACTTGAGGGAGTTTGGGCTTGTCTTGAGGACGCTAGGGAGCCATGGAAGGGCTTCAAGTCAGGGAGAGTCATGGTGAGTTGGGGATTTGGAAAGATGGCTCTGGCTTTCATATGGAGCGTGGATTGGAGGGAATAAAACTGGGGGCCTTCAGTAAAGGGAGGCAGTTGGGGTGGAACAGGGACGTTTGCACCGGGGTGGGACTGTGGGAAAGGGAGGAGGTGTGGGCGGGAGAGACGCCCAGGAGGCCTAGTGAACCTGTCTTGGGACTGGCTGGCTGCAGAGCCAGGAGAGAGGTTGAAATCCTAGACAAGGACTTTGGGTGGGGGTTAGGGGTTGGTAGTTTCTCCCTGAAAAGGAGACCCAGAGGAGAAGCAAGTTTGGAAGATGCTGAGTCCAGTGTGGGCTACCCAGCAGCGGGGCGGGGCGGGGGCGGGGGGGTGGTGTGTGGCGGGCGGGCAGGAGGCTGTCTGGAGCTTAAGAGAACTTGGGGCCGGAAACCAAGATTTGAGGTTCTTCAAAGATGGTAATTGAAGCTGTGGGTGATCTAGCCTTGGAGGATACGAAGGATGAATGGAGACAAGGACTCAACAGAACCCTAAGAAAGGAGGACACCTAAGGTTTGAGCAAAGGAATGGGCATCTGTCCAAGATTGAGAAGGGACAGCCAGAGAGAGAGGAAAATGCAGTGAGGAAAGTTCATTTCAAGCCAGGCTGGCAGAGGGTATCAAATCCCATCCATTACCTCCTCTGTTTAAGCAAAAACCTTCATGACATGTAGAGTAGTTCAATAGATACCATTTCATTTATTCACTCAGTGATACTCAAGTACCTAACATGTGTCAGGGGCTTCAAGGTTCACTAGAACCTTGTTTCTAGAAATTCAACAACGGAACAAAGCTTACATTCATGCCTGAAGCTTACATTCTGGTTGAGGGGACACAATAAATAGATCTTATTTATTTATTTTGACAGAGAGAGAGAGATCACAAGTAGCAGAGAGGCAGGCAGAGAGAGGGGGAAGCAGACTCCCCGCTGAGCAGACAGCCCATGTGGGGCTCGATCCCAGGACCCTGAGATCATGACCTGAGCCGAAGACAGAGGCTTAACCCACTGAGCCACGCAGGTGCCTCTAGGGGGACACAATAAATAAATAAATATAATGTGACTTGGTGATAAGTACTACAGGGAAAAATAAAGCAAGCTGAGGGGATGGAGTGATGAGGTCAGCACTATTTTAGCTGGGGGAAAGGTGTGATCAGGTGAGGTTTGAGCAGAAATCTGAAGAAAGGAAGGGGTAAACCATAAGGGAAAGAAGGTTCCTAAAAGAGGGAACAGCAAGTGCAAAGGCCCAGTGGCAGGCTTATTCACAGAACCACAAAGAGGATAATGTGGCTGCAATGGAGTGACCAAAGAGGGGAGGGTAGGAGAAGACAAGGTCCAGGTGGTAATGGAGGAGGGGTGGTGGCAGATAAAGGCCACTGTAAGGACTCTAGCTTTTACAACTAGCTTTTACCCAAATAACATGGAAGCTGTAGGAGGGTTTGAGAGAGGAAGTGTGTCATCTGCTTTGGGTTTTATTAGGATCCCTATGGCAGTGCTGTGAAAAATAGAGTGTGTGTGGGGGGGGCACAAGGGGACAGTGAGGAGGTTGCTGCAAGAGTTCAGGCAGGAGATGAAGGTTTGGGGGACCAGGGTATGGGCCGTGCATGGAGGGGGGAGATGGGCAGGTTCTGGTTACATATCCAAGTTCAGAACTGACAATTCTGATGTACGATGAGAGGAATGAGACAGGTTAAGGATGACTGAGACATCCATGTGGAGATAATCAGCTTAGCAGCTGGATGTAGGAGTCTATCTAGAATCCACAGAGAAACCTAGGCTGGAGAAATAATTGGGGTATGCCCTTTGAAAGCCAAGAGACTAGATGAGATCAGGAGAGGACGGTAGGTGAAAAAGAGGAGACGAAGGACTGAGCCCTGGAACACCCCACTGTTAAAAGGAAGAATCAGCAAGAGGCCGGGAAGGAGCACAGCCAGAACACGTGGAGGAAACCCAGGCCAGGGTGTTGTCCTGAAAGCCAAGTGAAGAAAGTGTTTCTTCAGGGCACAGAGAGGGATGGACGGTGACACATGCAGCTGACAGGGCACAACAGACGAAGATTGAGAATTGACCAGTAGGTCCAACACCGTAGAGGTCAATGGTGGCCCAGACAAGGCTACATCAGGGGATGGGGACAGGAGTCACAATCTGCTGGGAGACAGGAGTCACAACTCTCCCGGAGTTGAAGAGAATCAGGAGGAGACATTGGAGGCAGCAAGTGTAGATGATTCTTTAGAGAAGTTTTGCTGAAAAGGGAAGGAAATGAATGGGCAATGTTGGACGGAAGATAGGGTTCTTCGTTTATAAGAAGGAAGACAACCCAGGGCGCCTGGGTGGCTCAGTTGGTTGAGCGACTGCCTTCAGCTCAGGTCATGATCCGTGAGTCCCATGATCAAGTCCCACATCGGGCTCCTAGCTCCCTGGGGAGTCTGCTTCTCCCTCTGACCTTCTCCCCTCTCATGCGCGCTCTCTCTCTCTCTGTGTCTCTCTCAAATAAATAAATAAAATCTAAAAAAAAATTAAAAGAAGGAAGACAACCCCACATGTAGACTGAAAGGAAAGCTCTAGTAGGGATGGGAACATTGATGATGCAGGGAAAGGGAGAATAGCTCCAGTGACGCCTGTCAGTCGGGGGGGGGGGGGGGTGGGGGGGGGGGCCAGGGGCGGGGGGGGGGTTAAGGAAGGGGGGGGGGGGGGGTGGGGGGAAGCCCAGCCAATATGGCGGGCCAGCCACTGAGGAGCAGGAACCTGTGAAGAGTCTCCTTTTTTTTTTTTTTTTTTTTCCGAAGATTTTATTTATTTGACAGAGATCACAAGTAGGCAGAGAGGCAGGCGGGTGGGGGGGAGTAGGCTCCCCGCAGAGCAGAGAGCCAGATGTGGGGCTAGATCCCAGGACCCTGAGATCATGACCTGAGCTGAAGGCAGAGGCTTTAACCCACTGAGCCACCCAGGCGCCCCTAGTGAAGAGTCTCTTGTTGGCTTTTATTTTCTCACTGAAACACAGGGAATTTTCCCATAAATTACTTCCCTTTTATTTCTCCTTTATATGACAGGACACGGTATTGATTTTGGGGGCAGGGGTTTGTGGTATAAGTAGGTTACGTTATCTAGGACTTTGATTTCATGGTGGGAAAGGGGGCAACACAAAATGCACTTAATAAAAAAGGGGGTACTGATCTGACACAATTGGACACCATTGTTGTAGGGCTCGTTATTAGGCCCCTGAGGCTGAATAAGTGCAGGAAAAAAATCCAGCATTACCTGGAATAGTGGAGTGGAGTCTCCACGGGATAATGTGGAATCTTGATATCCCCATCAACGCGGTGGGTGGCAGTTTGGCTAGCAAACATCCCTAAGCTCCCCTTTTCTACTCTGGAATTAAAATATTCCAGAGTGGGGATGATCCAGGAAAACTTCCTGGAGGAGGGGAGGAGCTAAAAGAGCTCTCTCTCTCTCTCTCTCTCTTTTTTTTTTTTAAGATTTTTATTTATTTATTTGACAGACAGAGATCACAAGTAGGCAGAGAGGCCGGCAGAGAGAGAGGGGGAAGCAGGCTCCCTGCTGAGCAGAGAGCCCGATGCGGGTCTCGATCCCAGGACCCTGAGATCATGACCTGAGCCGAAGGCAGAGGTTTTAACCCACTGAGCCACCCAGGCGCCCCTCTCTCTTTTTTGAAAATTTTTATTTATTTGACAGAGATCACAAGTAGGCAGAGAGGCAGGCAGAGAGAGGAGGAAGCAGGCCCCCCACTGAGCAGAGAGCCCTGCGGCTGATCCCAGGACCCTGAGATCATGACCCAAGCCAAAGGCAGAGGCCCTAACCCACTGAGCCACAGAGGCGCCCCAGAGCTCTTATCTACAGTGTATTGAGCATGTCCACCATGCCGGGAGGTATGTAAGGCTGTTTTATCCCTACAGGAATCCTGAATCAGAGGGATGAAGCTACCTAGCTAGGGTCACACAGCAAGGCAGCATTTGAATCCAGGTCTGGGTGATTGCAAAGCCTGGGAGGTCCTGGCAGATGAGGGGAAGGAAGGAAGGGGAGGAGCCCTCTGAGACAGTTGTCCCAGAATGGGCATAAACAGGATGTGGTGTTGGATGAAACCTTTCCCCTGCCCCACACCCCGCCCCCTGCAGCCCTGGTCCCTAATTCTAGAAGACAGCGGAACTGAGAAGAGGCCTGTGGACAGAAAAGTCATGGTTAGGGGGATGAGGGGTGTATGGGAAGGGCTGGGGGCTGGGGTGGGGTTGGGGTTGGGAGATTGCCTGGGTGAAGGTCAGCCTGGGGGCTACTCAGGGGCTGGGAGGGTGACCCCATTGCAGCAAAGGGCCTGGCTGGGGGAAGAGAGATGCTGGCTCCAGGTTTAGCCCCCGAGCAAGCAGATCCTCAAGTGTTCCCTGAGGGCACCTGCCTAGAGGGCTGGAGCCCAGCCTCTGCCCTGCTCCCCAAATGCATGCACTGGTAAGGGGCGGCACCTTCCACCCTGCGGAAAGCACCTTTTCCCTAATTGTACCCGGGGCGTCCTATGGGCCATCAGGCCCACCTCTTCATTAGTAGTTGGAGAAACTGAGGTTGAGGGAAGGTGATGGGGTGGGGTGGGGGGCTTACGCTCTCTTAAGCTCTTCCTGGGCTTCTCTGGCAGTCGGATTCCCTGGTGGTGTGCGAGGTGGACCCTGAACTAAAGGAAAAGCTGAGAAAATTTCGCTTCAGAAAAGAGACAGACAATGCAGCCATAATCAGTGAGTGTCATCTCCTCCCCTGGAAGGTTGGTGGAGGGGGTGGGGACAAACAAGGAAGTCTGGCTAGTGTCCCTACTGGATGGAAGGGGCAACTAACCCCCATATGCCATCCCTCCCCAGTGAAGGTGGACAAGGACCGGCAGATGGTCGTGCTCGAGGAAGAATTTCAGGTGAGGGTCTGGGATGGATGGGGCCACCGAGAAGGGCAGGGTAGGACTGGGAGAACCAGGAGACTGGAGCTGATGCTAAGAGCCTGACTTTGGGGGCTAGACAGGACTGGAGGTCAAATCCCAGCTCAGTTGTGACTCGAGGCAAGAGACTTCACCTATATGGGTCTCTGTTTTCTCATCTGTGAAATGGGGATACCTGTACCTACCTCTTAGGGTCTATGATTTAGTGCTTTAATCCTTGTCATGGGCTTAGAAGTGGGTCCCGCACATAGAATATACTCAATAAAATAATGATGGTAATGACAATGATGATGATATTTTATTGGCATGTAAATGAAAGTTTCCAGATAAATCAACAAAAAGCTAGTGGAAATCCTGCATAAAAGGATAGACCTCCCCCTTTCTTGCCTCGCTGTCTTTATCAGTCACACAGGGATGCTAATAAGGCTTACTTCATAGTGTTGTGGTAAGGATTTGACGGGGTGGCCCATGGAGACTGAGGCTGGAGGCTGGGGCTGTTTGATGGGGTGGTGGTGGGAGGATCGACTAGGAGCTGGGCCCTGTCAGGTCCTCTGAAAGACAGTGTAGCAAAATGGTTACGATTTGAACCCAGATTCAAATCTGAATCCTGCGGCTCGCTCTCCACAACCATGGACCGGTGTCTTAACCACCCTGGGCCTCAGTTTGCTCACCTGTAAAGTGGGGCTAAGGAGAAGCTACTGCACAGAATTGTGGGAGAAATCAGTGAGTTGATCTATGTGTGTTTCTTAGACCAGTGCCTAGGCACATAGGTCAACCTTACTTAATGATGGTCTTTTCTTTTTCTCCCCCCTCACCCCCAGAACATTTCTCCAGAGGAATTAAAAACAGAGTTGCCAGAGAGACAGCCCAGGTATCCTGGGGGTAGTGAGGGGAGGGTCAGGCCAGGGAGGGGTGAGGGTGATGATGAAGGAACAGACTGAGGGACCCCTTGGATTCCAGTATTAATCACGGGTTCTGGTCTGGGTTCGAGGCCACGAATTCACACCCTAGGACTTTTTGTTTGTATACTAATATTTTATTGCAGAATTTTACACTGGTAGTCATGTGATATTAGAGCTTGCTCTTTTTTTTTTTTTCTGTACAAACATTGTCAGGTTTCAGTCTCGTGATTGCACTTCATTAAACAAAAAATGAAATTTTCCTTTTTCAATGCCTGAGAATACTTTGGGAAGTGGGGGAGTTGTTTGACCTTTAATGATTGGGGAGAATCCTGTGTGAAGCCTCCTAAGCTAGTACAAAGGAGGTCTTCGACACTCCTTTGAAGCCTAGTCATGTTTAGATTTTACATCTCCACTGGGGTGAATTTGGGGTGCACCAGGATTTTGACCCTCCATCTCAGGCTCTCCATTCCAGCCAGGACCGGCTCCCCAGGTGTCTGACAAGTACAGTCACGCTGGGCTCCATGCACAGAAGGGAGTCTCAAACACAGACGGGGCTTAGTGCTCTGCGGCTGCGGGCCATCTGGAAATTTTTTATAGTTTTATCTTTGAGTTCGTGTTTTGTGTAAAGTCTGGTGGGACAAGTGGAGCATGTGCTGGGGGCTTGGAGCCACCTTCAGCTCACACATGGTCCCTCCATCAGCCCTGGTTGGTCGGGTTCTCCCCTGGTCACCCCCACCGCCCAGGGAGCACTGCTACCCTCTGTCCCAGGCATGGGGCCTGAGTGCAGATGGGGGAGGGTCAGAGTCAGGGTTGGCAGACACCCCCTGCATGACAATTTCCAGGGTCTGTCTATAAGCGAGCCAGCGGCTGTACTTCCCCTGTGAGTGTCCCCATGCCCAAGAGGGCCCGACTTGAAGTAGTAAATTTAAAGAGCCCGTGACCAGTCTGGAGAGAGACTGCGGAGCAAAGGGAACAGCTTTTCTCTTGCCTTTTGAACAGCAGACCCCACATTTCCATTTTGCCTTGGGCTTGGCAAATGATGGGAGCTGGCTGTCTCAGAGGTCTAGAGCTCTGGATGGTCCCACGTAGTGCTTGAGCCTTTACACTCTGGCACGAATTCCCTGGGCTCAAATCTTTCCTGTATCCACAGAAACCCAGTTAAATGATTCTGGGCCTCGGTTTTCCCATCTGTAGTATGGGGATAACAAGAGCACTTATGTCAGGGGGTTATTGTGAATCAAACAAGCACTTACCACAATGAGTATTTTTCATCCTTTTGTGTTCACGGTCTGTATCCTGGGGTCTCATTTGTTAGCCCTAGGTTCTCAGACTCAGGCAAGATTTTAAGACTGTGGACTCCGGTAATGGGCATTGGGCCCGGGCTCCGGGCGGAAGTACTGAATTTGATTTCCCTTTGGCTGGTGTAGGTTTGTGGTTTACAGCTACAAGTACGTGCACGAGGACGGCCGAGTGTCCTACCCATTGTGCTTCATCTTCTCCAGTCCTGTGGGTGAGGCACGGCTCTCCCTGTCCCCACAAGAGGGTCTTAGATTCTGTGCTTGGGGTGTGCAAGAGCGTGTCCATGGGTGCAGGTACGTGTGACTGGTGACTGTGTGAATGTGCAGCCTGTGTGGCGCATGGGTGCTGGAGTGGGGTGGGAGCTCAGATTCCTTAAGAGCCCACTTGTCCTCCTCAGTCCCAAGGTGTGTAAGCCAGTTAACCTCTCCCTTTTACTTAGAAACTCCTGTGTGGCCTCTAAACCATCTCCTGGGACCCTCAGCATAACAAGCTCCTCCCCCAAACAGCCCCCAAACCCTGAGTATGGCTTCAAGAGACGAACTTAGAACAGCTCCCAGGAACTTTCGAAAACTTCAGGGCCTGCAGGACATAACTGGGGCCTTAGTGATAAGTGGGGTCCCCCAGTTACGCTCTTTTCTCTTCTTTTGCATGCAGGCTGCAAGCCTGAACAGCAGATGATGTACGCAGGGAGTAAAAACAGACTGGTGCAGACAGCAGAGCTCACAAAGGTCTGGGCCTGGGACTGAGGCTCCCCAGGGCTAGGGAGGTAGAGCCCGAGGGTCTGGGATCCTGTTCTGAGCGGGGGGAAGAGGCCAGAGGGCTCACTACTTCACTTCCTGAGTGGGTCTTAATGCGGAGAACTCTCCCTGCCCAGGTATTTGAAATCCGCACCACTGATGACCTCACCGAGGCCTGGCTCCAAGAGAAGTTGTCTTTCTTTCGTTGACCTCTGAGCTGCGGAACTGGATTCCTGATGTCGGAGTCTCTGAAGAAACTGGGGACTGGGACCCTCTAGGACCTGAACGTCTGAGACCCTAAGGAAATTAAAATGCAGGAATTCAAGAGATCTCAGTTCTGTTTCTGTTTCTCCTTGGGGGAGCTAGCGGAGGGTCCCTGCAGTACCGGCGTTGGGCCAGCAGAGGGCAGGCAGACCAAGTAGATGCCCGCTGAGTCCCAGAAGAAAAGGGGCGGGAGGGATACCGGTTTCTTGGCCAGAAAGGAAGAGGCCTGTAGGTTTTTCTGGGGAGGAGTTGGCGGGCTGAGGAAGGGTGGGGGAGGGGTTTCCAGGAAGAATTGGAAAATATCTGAAACCAGGAGGGGGCCCTCCTAGGGGAATATGGCCACCTGGGTTCCTGAGAGTGAAGGAGGCAGAGTGCCTGTTCCCCTCCTCCCTACTTCTCACCACAGCTCTAGGAGCTAGCAGACAGCCCCCAGGCTGGAAGAATTTAAAGATTTTATTTATTTATTTGACAGACAGATCACAAGTAGGCAGAGAGACAGGCAGAGAGAGAGAGAGGAGGAAGCGGACTCCCCGCTTAGCTGAGAGCCCGATGTGGAGCTCTGATCCCAGGACCCTGGGATCATGTCCAGAGCCAAAGGCAGAGGCTTTAACCCACTGAGCCACCCAGGTGCCCCTAGGCTGTAAGAATTTAAAGACAGAAAAGTTGTTGAAGGACCAGACATAATTGCTTCAGGGAGTTGCTGTGGTGGGTGGTTTGTGGGGTTAGGGAGGCCTGAGGGCCCAAGGCTAGGGAAGGTGAGAGGATCTAGGGCTCTCAGTGGACCCCTGAGGGGTATGAAGTTGAAGGTCAGGGAAAGGACCCCCTACCCACCCCAGTTGGGAGATTCTTTTTTCTTTCATGTGGTATGTCTGGGCTTTTGAGTCTCTTGGACCCTCTGTCTTTGTCTCTGAGGGACATTTATTGAGCACCCACAGTGTACCAGGCTCTGAGAATTCTGAGATGGGCAGGTCTTCACAGAGATAAATCACTTTTTCTCTGTGCTTCTCCTCCTGGTCTCTGGTCCTTTCTCTGTCCCCAGATGCAGGGACCTGGGAGCTCCCTCCCCCCACCACCCCTTTTCAGGTTCCCTGTAGAGAGGTGTTCGTTGCCATGGTAACAATGACACAATGACCTTGGGCCTGGGCTGCCCCTCCCCCAGCCCTGTCATTCCTGGGGGTGGGTCCACAAGCCCAGCTCCAACCCCTCCCCAACCCTTCCAGCCAGAACACACCCATCCCCTCACCACCCGGCTCAGCCCATCCCTTTACCCCCTTGTCCCCTGTCAGGACAAGTCCTTTGCATAAAGAAATCGCGTACAAACGCCCTCTCCTCCTCCCCCACGCCAGTATTTTGGGGGAGGGACATGAGTTTCCTTCTGACACCTTTCTTGGTGCCCTCCCCAGCCCCTCTCTGCCAGGAACAAGTCTACTTCTCGCTGTGATCACAACCTCAGTTTCTCATGGCTAGAGATGGAAGGAGAAGAGGGCTGGGGATAGGAGAGGTCGTTCAGTTAAGAGGTCAAGAAGGCAAAAGGACTTGTCCAAGGTCGTGCACTTACATGATCAAATTAATAATAATAGTTAACTCTTTGATTGAGGGCTTCCTATGTGCCAAGTACTTCTATAAGCCCTTTACAGCTGTTAACTCATTTAATCTTTACAAAATCTCATGAGAATGGTATCATAATTATCCCCAATTTACAGATGAATAAACTGAGGCACAGAAGCCAAAATAGTTGCCTGAAACCCCACTGCTAGGGGTTTGCACAGTTAGAACTTTAATTCAAGGCTATCTGGTGGTCAAGGGCCACTCCCTCTCTCCGGCAGGGAATTTAGGGATTCATCCCTTCCTCTTCCTTCCCCTCCCCTCTCTCTCTCCTACTTCCCACGTAGTTGAACTTCTGTCAGCCTCCAGACTCATGATTGCAAACAATCCAATCAGGAAGAGGCATGTACGAGGAGTTGCCCAATCAGGAGCAGGGAATTTGGAACGCAAGGACCAATCAGAGAGGGTGACTCGGGAATGCCCAATACAGAGGAGGTTTGGCTAGAGGGATTGCGGAGGGACCAATCAGAGAGGCAGAGCGGAATACACTATCCAATGGAGAGTCAGCACAATGGGGAGTGGCTCTAGGTTGGGGGCCACTCCTTCAAGGGTCCTCCTTCAAGGGTCCTCCCAGAACAAACGAGGGACTACCTCCTCTCTTTCCACCTGCTTTCACTTAGGCTTCACAGATCCAGGCTCCTTAATTTTTGAATCCAGGCTCTAGGGTTTCCCTGGGGCGCTTCTTCCTGCTAACCTTAAAGGAGAGTAGGGCTTATGTTAGAGAGGAAGAAACGGGATTTAGGGCGGAACTGAGAATGGAGGATCTAAATTAGGCAAGTGGTGCCTGGACTGAAAGATGCTTTTGGGGTGGAGTTTAAGGTGCAGGGGGCAGTGTTGGGGCTAAGAGGGTAGGACCTGGGCCCGAGGGCAACCTGATGTCAGAAAGGCTGAGGGGGGGCGGTTTGCTTTGGGCAGAGCCTTGGAGAGGGGGCGCGGGGGTGGGATTGGGGGTGTGAGGGTGTCTGTGTGCGTGTGTAACTAGGCTTGGGGGCGGGGCCTAATTGTGGAAGTGTGAGAATGGTTGCCTGTCTCTATTAAAATGTCTGGGGTAGGAATTAAGGCTGGAGGAAACTTCCACCTGTTGCCCTCTTTTCAGGCCAACTCACAGCCTCCAATCGCTGGGGGTTTCCCTCTTCCCTTCTAGTGACCCCAGGCTGGAACATTATGTTTATTGCTGAGTGTGGCTCCTGTGGTGAGTCTGGGGTGGGCCTAGCTCCTGGGCCCTCTCCTGAGAGGCTATTAAGAATACATGTTTGCTGAGCACCCACTGGGTGTCCTTCGTCGTTCTGGACACTGGAGAGAATTGGTGCCCATTTCTCTCCTCTCAGGAGGCTTATATTTCAATGACTAGACAACAAGCAAGAAACAAACACATAAGTAAACAATAAAGAGACAAACATTATCAGCAAGCATGATAAATGCTAGGTAGGGGATAAAATGAGATGATGGGATAGAAATAGTGGGACCTTTTGTTGCCTCTTTAGTCTCTAGAAGACTCCCCCTGCTCACCAGTATTAGGTGACTATGTATTAGGAAATATATATTAGGAAATATTTCCAACATGCAGCAAAGTTGAAATAATTTTACAGCGAACCCTCCTCATAGACCCACCACCTAGATTCTACCATTAACGTTTTATTGTACTTGCTTTCTCACCTCACCATCCAGTCAACCCATCCATCAACCCATCTTCTTTTTTATGGATTTCAGAGTAAGTGGCAGACATCTGGACAATTGGTGGGGGGGGGGGGACTGGGGGGGGGGAGGGAAGGACTCTCTGAAGAGATCACAGTTGAATTAAGACTTGAATGAAAAGGAAGGGGAAAGAGTGCAAAGACCCCAGGGGCTGGACTGAGCTGGTGTATTGGAGGAGTAGGAAGGCCATTGTGGGGGGCTAGGAAATGAGAGTGGTAAAGGATGTCAACAGGTGGGTAGGGCCAGAGATACTTGGGCTCAAGCTCTTTGTTTCCCCATCTCAGTGGAACTCCCTTTTCCATCCCAGGCCGGCCATGGCCTTCTTTTCCTTTCACTTCCTGCCATTTGTTACCTGTGTGACCTGAGGCGAATTACCTAACCTCTCTGTGGTTAAATTTTCCTCATCTGTAAAATAGGGGTGTGATGGGACCTCCTCATCTGGCACCTGGGAGGAGTCAATGGAGTCATGTAGGAAGCTGTTAGAACCATCCCTGGCACACAGTAGCACTGGACGCTTGTCCACTTTTGTGGTTGTTAACTATTCTCTCTCTCCATCTTCCCAGCCCAGGACCTCCACACCCCATCAGGGAGCATCAAGAACCAGGGTGGGGGTGGTGGTGCCTGGCTGGAGGCACCATCAATGGTGGTGATGTTGGAATCTGGAGATTGGTGGGGAGGATCGTGGGTGTCCCCAGGGGGCATCTAATGGTGGTGAGTGGGGTCAAGGTTCACTGAAGGGGAGGTTTTGCAGAGGTGACCTTGATCTGGGGGACAGGGCAGGCTACAAGTGATGATGATGTGACTAGGAAGAATTTAGGGAAGGGGTTTGACAGAGGACCTTGATACAGTGGGATCCAAAATGGGAAGGGTTTGAGTTGCCAAGGAGCTGGGGGTCTGCAATAAGATGGATTTGCAGGGGAGGCCTTGTTGGTTTCTGAGTATCTCAGAAAAAGGTGGAGAGTGGCCTGAGATACTCAGTGGGATTTGGGGGAGGGACTGGGGGGGGTCAGCTATTGGGTAGGAGTTGGGCAAGAAAGGAGTCTAACCAAGGAAGGAGCAAAGAATCCTGGGATCCATGGAAGTCACGGGGAGGGGGAAGGGTCTGCAGGGTCCAAAAAAAAGAGTAGGAACAGGAGGGAAAGAACCTGGCACAAATCAGGGATTCTGGAAACCAAGGGGGGCTTTAGAGGGAAGGATGATCTGGGGTCTGATGGGAGGTAGTGAGGAAAGGTAGGGGGAATAAGAGACATCTTGGGGTCCCCCTAGAAATTAGACATGGTCTGGAGTCCCTCCTGGGGGTCAGGGAATGGTTTGTGGTCCTAGAGGGTGGAAGGACATGGCTGGGGGGGCCTCCAAGATGCAGAAGGACATGGTTTGGGTCCCCAAAGGAAGTAAGACATGATCTTGGTATCTCCCTGGATGTTGAAATACGGTTTGGGTCCTCTCTGGAAGCTGGGGCATGGTCTGGGGTCTACCTGAATCTTATGGTGTGATTTAGGATCCCTGCGGGGGGGTGCTCTGGATGCCCCCTGGGTGCTGGGATATGGCCTGGGGCCCCCACTGGAGTATGGGGCAGAGTCTGAGGTCACCAAGGAGAGTAGGACATGGTTTGTGGGTTCCTGGATGGCTGTAGAACATGGTTTGGATCCTCAGAAGAGGTAAGGCATGGTCTGAGGTTCCCCTGGGTATTCGGACATGATCCCAGGTCTCAGCCGAGTCCCCACGCCAGTTGGGGCGTGGTCTGGGGGGGGGTCTCAGGGGAAGCCGGCAGGGCTGGAGGTGGGGCTGGGGAGGGGTCGGGGGCGGGCCGGTGGCTCCGCAGCGGAGAGGGGTCTGCGGCGCGCCCCCGGGCGGGGGTCTGGGCGGTGCGGCCGCCCCGCCCGCCCCTCCGGTCGGCGCCCCCTCCCCCCTTGCGGCGGTGGTGGCGTCGGGGCTCTGGCGGCGGGCGGCGCGGAGGGCGGAGCTCGGCGGCGGCTCGGGAGGGAGGGCGGGAGGCGGGAGGGAGGCGGCCCCGCGGCACCGCGCCCCCTCCCCCGGCCCTCCCCCCACCATGGCGCGGAGCGAGGCGGCGGCGGCGGGGCCGGGCCCGGGGCCCCCCCCGGGCTGGGTGAGCGCGGCCCGCAGCGGCCCGGGAGGCGGCGGGCGGGGGCGCCGGTGGGAGCGCGGGTGTGAGCGTGCGAGCGTGAGTGTGTGTCCGCGGCGCTGCGGCGGGCCCGGCGTGCGCTCGCGCGGCCCTGTGTGTGCCCGGCGCCGGCGTGTGCGGCGCCCTGCTTGTGTGGCTATCCGGGTGTGTGCGGGGTGTCGAGCCGAGGTGCTGTGTCCGGCCGCGCGCGTGTCCCCCTGAGCGGCTGCCCCTCCGGCTGTGTGTCTGGGGGGCTGTCGCGCGCCCATCGGAGGGGCTGTGTGCAGGTGTGTGTGCGTGGGTTGTGTGCCCAGGTGTGGGTGCCCCCCGCCCCCCCCCAGCGAGTGTGCGCGGGGCTGGATGCGTTGGGTGTTTGGGTCCAGGTTGGATGTCCGGGTCCAGGTTGGATGTCCATCCTAGGGTTTGTGTAGCCGGGTGTGCCCGTTTGGGTGTCCATTTGTGTTGTGTGTGTGTGTGTGTGTATGTGTATCTGCGGGTTGCATGTCTCTGAGGGTGTGTGTCTGTGCGTCCACCTCAGGTTCCCGGCTAGGGGCTGGGGCTCGTTCCTTGTGGGTCCAGGCCTCTGTGTGGGTTTGGGGGAGGGGAGTTTGCCGCTCCCTCGGTCCATGTCAACTGGGGGGTCCTCAGCGGTCCTTGGGGGAGACGGCCATGTCTTCCCCTTCCCGGTGCTTGGGAGGTGGGGGGGGGATGGGCGGCCGGTAGGTGGACAGATGGAGGGATGAGAGGCCGAGGGATGGACAGATGGGCCGGAGGGGAGGGGCACAGACCCGGCCCTTCCCCACCCACCCCACCTCAATCCCCCCACCCGCCACATCTCCGCAGATAGGGCCTGAGTTGCCGGCATACAGATGGCCAGGCCGGGGGATCTTTGGGCGGCTGGAGGGAGGATTGCCTTGCAGAGGGGCTCTAGGACTCAGCCCCCCCAACCCTTTGAGACCCCACCTGCTGAACTCTGACCTCAGGCCATGGCTGGTGCCTTGGTTGGGGGTGGGGGGAGGATGTGCTGGGAGGGAAGAATGTTAGGATTTCTTTGAGCTGGGATGTAGGTGGGGTGGGGGTACCTCAGGGCCAGGATGCGTGTTCATGACTGTGAGTGTGAATGTATGCCTATCTGTTGACTATGCTACTGTGGTTCAATATTTCATGTGCATTTTGGAAGTGTGTAATATCCCTCCCAGGGCTCTTGTGTGAGCATGTGTCTGTCATGAGTGAACATCTCAGAATGTGTGTGCAAAGTGGATCTTTTTGTGCCTGTGGGCTTGAGTATCAGTTTTTGTGTTGCCTGTGTGTGCTTGTGGTTCTGTGTATGTGTGAGGTGTGTATCCGCTGGTGTGTGCGTTTGTGCATCTGACGGTGTGGGGATGGAGCAGGTTTGTGACCATGCACCTTGGGGATATGTGAAGTTGTGTGAGTGTGTAGGAGTGTGTCTGAGCATTTAAGAGCCTGCACTGTGTGTCACCTGTATGTGCAAGTGAGTATATGTTGTATGTATGGGCCCCTGTGTGTTGGCAAGCGTGCACGTGTGTGTCTGTTATAGAAGCATGAATCTGGTTGTCTGCAAGGGGGCACACAGGTTTCTCTGCTGTGTGTGTCTGTGGGTATGTATGAATGTGCAAAGGAAAGGCAGTGCTGTACATGCGTGCTTGTGTGCGAGTGTGTCCCCCTTGAGGGTGTGTGTCTGTGCTGTGAGTCCATTTATGTGTCAGTGTTGGTCTTTGGGGATTGGGGTTGTATCCATTGATACGTGCGGGGCAATCTGTATGCATGTGCTTGTCTCCCTGGCACGAGGCTGACCTCACTTCTTGGCCCAGTGAGACTGGAGCCTGTGTGGTGTGACCTGTGGTATGCTTGGGTCCCTCGTGGAGGGGGGTGTCCAAGGACACAAGTGTGTCCGCATGCCAGGCCAAGAGCCCACGGAGAGTGGGGGCACACATCTGGCTGGTGTGTTCCTGGAAATCCAGATGTGGAGACTTTGACTCTGGGTCCATGTGGGTTTTGGCGTGTCTGCACATGTTGGTATGACAATGGTATGATGGCGAGGATGGGGGCCTCTGGTTCTTTCCTACAAAGTTGGGGGACTGGGATGTGAACTCTGGAACATGCTGGGAGCCTGAAATCCCGGATCTACAAGAGAAGGTGGCTGGGAGGCCAGTTCCTGGATCTTGAGAAAGGAAGAAACCTAGACTCTGGAGTTTGAAGAAGGAAGAGATGGGGGTTGCAGACGCCAGGTCTTGAGGGAGGAGGGGGCTGGGTTCTCTGGCCTGGTGAGCCCACAGAGGACAAAGGGTTAAAGTCCTGGACTCCTGGGTTTGGAGGGTGAACAGTCCTGAGGCCCAGACTCCCTGGATTCCAGAAATGACTCGCTGGGTCCGTCTGAGATCGTGTAGTCTGCAGCAGGAGGGCGGAGAGAATGATCACCCCAGAGACTTCCTTGGCTGGGATGGTCTCTGAGGCAAGTCTTCAGAGAGGAGCCTGAAGGATGCTAATAGGGTCATTTTGTTTCTTTGCAGGTACTGGCCCAGGCCCTGACTCCCTGCAGAGAGGTGAGTGGGGTCCTCCAGGCTGGGGAGAGAGATGTGGAGTGATTGGGCCTGCTCTGAGCCAGCTGGAGGCCTGAAGCCCTGCCTGGTATGGATTTCAGGGCAGGGTATGGCAGTGTCCAAGGGGTGGGGGTGAGGGTGACAACAAGGTCAAGAGTATCGTGTTTGGGTCAGGGTTCATGGTAGAGCCTGGACACGGGTGGGAGGTGGGGGTTTTAGGCCTGCAGGCATCCCCTCTCTGGATGGGTAAGGTGGTGGGGACAGGGAAGTCTCCTGGTGATACGGGAAAAGGGCACAGAGAGTTTCACAACATGAAGTGATCCCCTGCATTTGGAGAGCGGCACGGACATGGTTTACCATTTGTGTGTGTGTGTGTGTGTGCGCGTGTGGGAAGATCTCCTGGTCACCTGACCTGCTAGTGGCTGAGAGAGAGCCAGAGAAAAATGATATGTTAATAATTATTAGTAGTAATAGTAATAATATTTAGTAATAATAGTAAAAATATTTAGTAATAATTAGCAATAGTAATAATAATGATAATAAGATGATGATGATGATGATGGCTGCTAATATTTATACAGGGTTTACTCTGTCAGGAACTGTCCCTAAACATGTAACACTGTATTATCTCTGAATACTTAAAATAACCCCATGAGGTAGCTGCTCCCATTATTCCCCATTTTACAGATGAGCACACTGGGGCACAAAGAGAGGAAGTCACTCGATTAAAGTCACGCTGCTGGGGCCTGGGGTATGAGCCACAGCAGTCAGGTCCCGGTTCTTCCTTGCGATGCCGCACTGCCTCTCAATAAACGTTAGCTATTTCCATTGCTGTTATTATTCCTTTCACTTGAGTCCCACCCCAGCTGTGGGAGGCAAAACCGTGTACTTGTGCTTCACAGACTGGGGTTCTGAGCCTTAGAGACCCCGCAGCCGAGCAGGTGCAGAGCTGGGGCTCCGAACTCGGGAGCTCTGCCTGGCAGGCCAGGGTTTTCTACCTGAGACTGATCAGTCTCCCGGGCGCAGAGCGCAAGACCAATTAATGGGGGGCGCTCAGAGACTCGGTGGGATGCCCCAACTCTGCCCCTCGTCCTCTGTGCATCCCAGGCACTGGCTCTCCGTCTCTATCTCTTTCTGCCTCTCTCTTGGTCTCTCACTATAGTGTCTTCAGATTGCCTCCTGCCTCTTCTGGCTCACTCTCCCCTCTTCATCTTTTGATCTCAATGCCCTTCTCTGTGTCTTGTTCTCTGTTCTTCAGTCTCTCTTGGCTTCAGGCTGACTCCTTGCCTCTGTAACTTTCTTTCAGATTCTTTCTTGTTTCCTTTCCTTTTATTTATTTATTTATTTACTTACTTGCTTATTTACTCATTTATCTATGTGAGCTCCTGGCACAATGTGGGGCTCGAACTCACCATGCTAAGATCTAGAGTCATATGCTTTGCCCGCCAGGCACACCTCAAGTTCTCTTTTTGCCCTTTCTTTCTCTATCTGTTCTTGCCAGTCCACCCCCCCCCCCCCCGCCATTTGTCTGTCTCTTCACCTGTCTCTCTCTGTCTTGGTCTCCCTCCCCACAGCCTGGAAGACCTAGGGCCACAGCAGGCCGCAGCCCCAAACTGCAGATTCCTAGGAGGTGGGCCAGCAGGGACCCGGTGCAGGGTGGGGTGAAAGCAGTTTCAGGGACGCCCCCTTCCCATCCTTTCCTCTTCACCCCCCACCCACCCCTTGTTGTGATGGGAGCTGACACATCGTGGGCTGCAGGCACCGCAGGGAAATCCCTGCCGGAAGGTTTTGCCTGGAGCAGAGGCATAGCGTGAGTGTGTGAGAGTGTGTGTGAGTGTGGGCATGTATGGGGCCTTGTAAGTGCCCGCTGATGTGAGCATGAAAGCCTGCCTGCTGCCTGGGAGCTCACCAGGGCCCAGGATGAAACCTGGCTTAGAGAAGGACTTCCCAAGGCTGAGCCGGAAGACATGTGCTTTTCTCAGCCCCTCCTACCTTCAGAATCCCTCTGCCACTCCCAAGTGGGGGTATGTTTGCGGGGGGGAGGGGCTTAACCTTAACATTCACTGAATATTTACTGTGTGGCAGACCCTGTGCTCAGTGGTTCCCACTGAATGAGCTCACAGAACCATTGCAACAACCCAGGGAAGATGGTATGATCATCATCCCATTTTGCAAATCAAGAAGTTATGGCCTAGGTTAGGGGAAACATTCGTTTGGGGTCACCGAGCGAGCAAGTGGGGGAACCAGGACGTGAAGTCTGAGTCTGTGTGATTTCAGAGCGCTTACTTTTAATGATGGTGCACACTTCTATGCCCAGCACATAGTGGGCACCCCGTGGTCATGGTGATAATAATCACCAACATGAGTTGAACAGATTTCATGGGCCAGGTGTGGTTCTAAGTACATAATGCTCATTAACCCATTTAATCCTCACAGAGGTAAGGCCTGTTCTTATCTCCATTTTACAGATGAAGAAACCGAGATTCAGAGAGGTTCAGACACTTGCCCGAGGTCACACAGCTAGTAAGTGTCAGAGCTGGAATTTGAACCCAGGGGCTGTGGCTTTGAAATTCATGACCTTAAACCCTAGTCAGCCATGAGTTTTCCGAATATTAAGTGGGTACTGGAAGGCCTAGGCTTAGTCAGGTGTCACCCCGCTGGTTGGGAAATCATGAGAAGTCTGGGCCTTCTGGAGGAGAGTCAGAGTTGGGATTGGGACACTCAGGGGTGGGGTAGTGAAGTTTATCAACCAGCGTGGAAATATTGTCCCTTAACGATGAAATGCATGGCCACTGATGAGCAGTCCTGCCACTGTTCTGCCGCGGTTGTTGGGAAGGGAGGGATATGGTGGGCGGCCAGGCTGGTGGTCAAGCCCTGCGCCTGCATAACCCCCTCTCCTTCCCTCGCAGGTCTCACGCCCCACTGCTCTCCCCTTACTGCACCATGGCTCCGGGCCCCTTCGGCTCGGCGCTCCTCTCGCCGCCGCCTGCTGCCCTGCCCTTTCTGCTGCTGCTCTGGGCTGGGGCATCCCGTGGTCAGCCCTGTCCCGGCCGCTGCATCTGCCAGAACGTGGCGCCCACGCTGACCATGTTGTGTGCCAAGACTGGCCTGCTCTTCGTGCCGCCGGCCATCGACCGGCGCGTGGTGGAGCTGCGGCTCACAGACAACTTCATCGCGGCTGTCCGCCGCAGGGACTTCGCCAACATGACCAGCCTGGTGCACCTCACCCTGTCCCGCAACACCATCGGCCAGGTGGCCGCCGGCGCCTTCGCCGACCTCCGCGCCCTCCGCGCCCTGCACCTGGACAGCAACCGCCTGGCCGAGGTGCGCGGCGACCAGCTCCGCGGCCTGGGCAACCTCCGTCACCTGATCCTTGGCAACAACCAGATCCGCCGGGTGGAGTCCGCTGCCTTCGATGCCTTCCTCTCCACCGTGGAGGACCTGGATCTGTCCTACAACAACCTCGAGGCCCTGCCGTGGGAGGCTGTGGGCCAGATGGTGAACCTGAATACCCTCACGCTGGACCACAATCTCATCGACCACATCGCTGAAGGGACCTTCGTGCAGCTGCACAAACTGGTTCGCCTGGACATGACCTCCAACCGCCTCCATAAACTGCCCCCCGATGGCCTCTTCCTGCGGTCCCAGGGTGCGGGGCCGAAGCCGCCCACACCGCTCACGGTCAGCTTTGGCGGCAACCCGCTGCACTGCAACTGCGAGCTGCTCTGGCTGCGGCGGCTGACCCGGGAAGATGACCTGGAGACATGCGCCACCCCCGAGCACCTCACCGACCGCTACTTCTGGTCCATCCCAGAGGAGGAGTTCCTGTGCGAACCGCCGCTCATTACTCGGCAGGCGGGGGGCCGGGCCCTGGTGGTGGAGGGCCAGGCGGTCAGCCTGCGGTGCCGCGCCGTGGGGGACCCCGAGCCCGTGGTGCACTGGGTCGCGCCCGACGGGCGGCTGCTGGGGAACTCAAGCCGGACCCGGGTGCGGGGGGACGGGACGCTGGATGTAACCATCACCACCTTACGGGACAGCGGCACCTTCACCTGCATCGCCTCCAACGCCGCCGGGGAAGCCACGGCACCAGTGGAGGTGTGCGTGGTGCCCCTGCCTCTGATGGCGCCCCCGCCGGCCGCCCCGCCGCCTCTCACCGAGCCTGGCTCCTCCGACATAGCGACACCCGGCCGCCCTGGTGCCAACGAGTCAGCTGCTGAGCGCCGGCTAGTGGCGGCGGAGCTGACCTCGAACTCGGTGCTCATCCGCTGGCCGGCCCAGAGGCCCGTCCCCGGAATCCGCATGTACCAGGTCCAGTACAACAGCTCCGTGGATGACTCCCTCGTCTACAGGTGGGTGCTGCAGTCCCAGGATGCCCCGCCCACCGACTCCCGGGGCCCTCCCCCTCATCTGCGCACCCCCTTGGCCTTCTTGCTCAGCCGCGGTTCTCTACATGGCTGTGCGGAGTTGTCCTGGGCTCTCATTTGCCCTGTCCCCTCCTCTTTCTACTTCTGTGTCACGATCTCTTTCTGCTTTTCAGGCATTTAGTAAATCTTCGTTGAGACCCCACACGAGCCAGACGTGAATATGCCCAGCACAGTCCCTCCTCTCTGGGGTTCCCGGGCTACATCACTGCTGGCCAAAGGTGTCTGGCCATTCACCTTGTCAGTTAAACATTTTGGAACATGAAATATATTCGCACACTTACATATGTATAGTTATATTTATATTTATAGATTACATACCAGTGTTACTGTATCAACCCACTGGGTGCATTACAGAACAGAAAAAGGAAAAGTATGAGAAAAATAAATAAATGATCCTTTGATCTTACCCACTTCGTTGCAAAGTGGTGATGATACCCCCTCCCATTTTATAATGGCTAGAAGCCCTTGCTCTGGTGTAGACAGATCTGTTCGGTATAGACAGACATTAAAAGGTTACTTTCTCCTATCATCTCTGTTATTCTCTTGTTTTGCCTCTGTCTGCCTGTACCCTCTCCCCCTCCGACTCTTTTAAGGCACTGAGCCCTTGCTCTGCGCTAGGCCCTGTGCCACCTCATTTGATCTTCCCAGCTCTGCTGTGAAGCAATGATGATCCCCCCTCCCATTTTATAGACAGGGAAACTGAGACTCAGTGGGAGGAAATCACTTGCTCAAGGTCACAGAGGAAAGTGGCAGAGCCAGGATTCCAGGCCTTACCCTTCTAACTGCTAATCTTGCCCTTTTGACATTGAACAGACATTTAGTGAGCACCTGCTGTTTGCCAGGCAGGGATTAGGGGAGAAAGAGAATACATTTCTGAAAATGACTTTTGGTTTCTGTGACTCTCCACCTCTCTGTTTCTCTCTTTCATTATTTAACCCTTGGCCACTGTGTGAGGGGGGTGAGGGGGTATCCTCAGACACTGCATGTACACAGATGTTGGTGGCCCTCTGTCCCCAGCAGGGCAACAAACCCCTGGTCTCTTCCTTTCCCCTTAAGGCCACAGTTCCAGTCCCCTGTCCCCCATTGCAGATGCCTGTGTTCTGGTGCTGTAGGGGTTAACCTCCTCACTGCTGCCATGGGCGGAGGTGACGACCAACCAGAAACCTGATCTGCTGCCTGCTCAGGTCTTGCAGCCAATTAGAGACACACCAGCTGAAGCTTTCTTAAGGAGCCAGCCTCTGTCCTTGAAAAGTGGGGAGCCCCTAGCAACTGGCTACTTTGGGGGAAGGAACAAGAGGAATCCAAGCCTCTTGGGAAGGGGAGAGGAGAGGATGAGGAAGACATACAGCTAGGGGTCCGAGGTTGCATGGGGTGGGGTCAGTGTGTGAAATGGGAGGAAGGGGGGGTCCACCGGAAATGTGGGTAGGCCTTTTGGGGGGGGGGCTTATTTGAAATCTTCTGGTTGAAGGGTGGCCTTTGGTGGTAACAGAGCTAAGGTGGGCTTCAGGACCAGAGCTGGCCTGGTTGGAGGGAATGTGAAGTTTCCCAGAGAGAAGAGGCCCATGGAGATGGGGGTGTGGCCTCTCTCAGGAGACAGGGCTCCTGTAGCATCCTCCCAGGCAGAGGGGGCCCCAGTCCTTGTCTCTGGGGATCCACTAAGAGTTTTGGAGGTGGGGAAGGCTTGTGAGATTGAGTCCCGGGCATGCAAATTCATGTGGACATGGCAGTCCTGGCTTAGCCAACAGCCCAGATGTGGCCAACAGCCCAGAAGGGACGTGCCCAATAGAAGAGGGTCAAGGCCTAGTGGGAACGGTCTTACAGATGGGGAAGAGTGCAGTTGGCAGTAAAGTATGAGCCACAGCAAGGGTTACTGGCCAACACAGGGTGGGATGTGAGCTAATCATGATGAAATTATTGGGTGCCAGGCGTTAGGTGTGTTAATTTATTCACACATCACACTATCTTTATGATGATCTTAATATCTCCATTCTGGGGAAGCAAGGCACAGAGGGTTTAAGAAACTTGCCTAAGGTCACAGAGCTAGCAAGTGGCAGAGAGACTCAAACATGGGCTCCAAGGCTTTGTCAGCATAATGGCTCCTTTACAATGATCCTCATTGGAGGGCAGGGGCCCATAGCAAGAAAGGGGCATGTTGCTTGGTTACATTTGATCCAATTATGGATGAAATTTATCTAGGCGGGGGGCATGATTTCATGACCTCTGGTGCTTTGGGGCAGAGTGTGCACACAGAGTGACTGATTGCAGGACATGCAGAGTGGACATGGCCCTAGGCACAGTAGGGAAACCATCCCTAGGAGGCCTTGGGAGTGTGGCTTGGAAGCCACTGGTCAATCAAAAGGGGAGTGGCTTATAGATGGCCCCTTAGTGGGTGGGAATAGGTACTTGAGGGGTTTGGTAGTTGTCCCAGAAGACAGACACAGCTTGATGTATCTACCCAGAGGTGGGACATGCAGGTGAGGGCCGTGGCCTCTATCAGTTTCCCCAGAAAGGATGGGAATACATAGAAAAGAGAAAGTGGAAGAGCATCCATTGTCCCAACGGAAGTAAAACAGAGTGGGTGAGCTGACCTCAGCGTCCGCTTGAGTGAGGATGAGACATACAGGAAACAAGACGTGGTCTGTTGTATGGGGGCCCTTAAAGGGTGGAAATATGTAGACCTTAAATGGCGGTTGTCCCGATGAAAGTGAGACACTGGCAGGAGGCGTGTTCCTTGAGGGCAGGCCTTAAAAGCTGTAGCACCTCCTCCCTTGCGGGGTGGGTGGTGGTGGTGGTAGTGGTGTGTGTGTGTCAGGATATGCAGATGAGGGAACAGGAATGGCAGATATTACCTAATAGGTGACAAGACACCACAAGGAGTGGGTCTGAGGGCAGGGCACGCAGAGGAGGGCCATGGACCTCAGCAGGGGTCCTGACAGGATGGGAATTTGTCGCTTGAATGGCTGCTACTGTCCCATAGAGGGTGAAATACCAGTAGGGACACATAGTTTGGTCCCCACTGGTCATCACGGGTGGGGCATGAAAACGAAGTGATGCTAACCCAGTGCTGATGCCCTCCTGTCCTGCAGGATGATCCCATCCACCAGCCAGACCTTCCTGGTGAATGATCTGGCAGCGGGCCGCGCCTACGACCTGTGCGTGCTGGCTGTCTACGACGATGGGGCCACAGCACTGCCAGCCACGCGAGTGGTGGGCTGTGTGCAGTTTACCACCGCTGGGGATCCTGCGCCCTGCCGCCCATTGAGGGCCCATTTCTTGGGCGGTACCATGATCATCGCCATCGGGGGCG